ATAGATCCCATGGTTTCCCTTATTTGCAATAACTAGTATAGTATATGTTGATTAGCATCATTTTAATATGTCATATGTATCTAGCTATTGTGCTCTTGTGATACTCTCCTAAGACTGTTTAGATAAGTATGTCCAAGTGTAATTATTTGTCTTTTACTATCCAACTCAGAGGTCACAGCTATTAATGGGGTAGGTTCTCTTTGTCTCTTTCCCTGATTTCTGCTAAACTTTTGGCTCCATTTGCTGCTATGTCTAGCTCATACTAGTTGACTACTATTGTTTTGTATATTGTGTAGTGTATACATTGTTGACTAGTCTAATCCTCTTAAGTTCAGGCCGGGGTGGCTTTTGAAGCTAGGTTTGTACTTAATCAGTAGGATTTTTCTTACCCAATTCTCTCTGTCAGATTAGATGTCCAGTGACTTAGCCTTTGTGGCTCTTAATTACCATTTTCAAGGGTACCTTTGGGCATGAACACTCACACTATGTTTCTAATAAAGTCAGTTATTTGAGGAACTAGTTCTCTTTTGGGTTGACTCCTCTGGATCAAGCCTGTGAACTACTACTTTGGGTGCCAGAACAAATCTCTGACCACATGAAATGTAACTCCTAAGAGTGAGTCCAAGCTCAAGCTTGTGTGGCTTACCTTTCCTAGAAAAATTTAATAAGCTTTCATTGGAAGCTAAAGGCAAGGGGTCCAAAAGATTTTGGGCTCACCCACCTAAAGTGAGCAGCTGAGATACTGAACTGGAGGTGGGGAACAGGGTGTGTGTGTTGGGGGTGGGGGAGTAGGACATGGCCAATGTCATAACTGTTCTTTTGCCAATAGATTCTCTTGAATCAGTTTCTTTGTGTGCTCTGTGACTTTAGGGTACCCCCCAGAACTTTTTCTCCTTGGTTTTCATCAGCTGTAATAGTTAGGGAGTATGTGTAGAGCCCCTAAGCTTCCTTCCACTCCTTGGGTTAAGGCTCCACCCGTGGTTTTGACTGTGGTCTGAGCCATGGGTCTGCAGAGCTGTTCAGATGTACTCTGCCTAGCCTCCACAGTTGTGGCCTTACGTATCAGGCCTCTCACCTTCCCCCATTGATTTCAGTTGATTGTTTGCTTTTTGATTGAAATGTGGTCTTAATTTGATGTGCTTTATGCTGAGTATCTGTTTTCCTTCTGGAAGTCTGAAATTTTGTTACCCACTAGGCAGAGGGCGCCCAGGTGTGCAACCACCAGTAAAATTTATCTGGAGACATCCTCACATGTGTGGTCACAGCTTGCTTCTGGAGGGATGAATTATGATGCCCTGGGGAGAGGACACTGGCAAGCTCCTATCTCTTCTGCTTCATGTACCATTTAATCTTGGCTGATTTGGGCAGTATTCTTCCACTGTAGTTAATCATAGCCATGTGTGAGTCCATGTGCCAGACCTCTCAGTCCCCCATGTGTGAGGCATCAAACATGAAGGTGGTCTCAGGGACCCCCTTGCCCACCAACTGCTGTTATGTACTGGACTGTCATGTTTAGGACATTCCAGGATTTATAGTGGTTTATGCATATTGATTTGGGCTCAGCCTTTGGTGGTGTGTGCTATCATATGTTAAGTTTCCAGCTACTCTATGACTCCTAGGCTGAACTTTGTACCTAAAGCACTAAGCTTTCTGCCAAAGTTCTGCCAGCCATGTACAGCCCTAGGCAAATGAATGGACTTGAAGTAAAAGCCAGCATGGAGTTGTTCTCTGTTTCAGGATCCACTTCTCTTTGCTTCTGCACAGTTTTGGTTTCTTTCTAGTACCCTTCTTTCTGGCATTGGACCTATAGCCTATTTTTATAATACAGAGGCTCCTCAATTTAAGATGAAGTTACCGCCCAGTTAACCCACTGTAAGTTGAAAATATTGGAAGGAATCATCTCCTGTCCATGCCCAGCATTGCCAGACAGGATCCCACCACAGCATTGTCTCTAGTTCAGAAAAAGATCACAATTCAAAATTTGGAATTTGGTGTCTGTATCTGTGTCATGTCACAACATGATAAAACTGAAAGTTCCTGTCTGTGACTGACTACATAAAAAAAAGTTTAAGCAATGTTTTTGGTTGGGCATGGTGTCCCACAACTATATTCCTAGTTACTTGGAAGTAGAGATTGGGAGGATCAGAGTTTAGGCCTACGCAGACAAAAAGCTAATGAGACCCTTCATCTCAAAAACAAAAAACAGGGGTTAGTGATGTACACTGGTCATTTCAGCTGTTCTGGAATGTAAGTAAAAGGATCCCAACCTGATTGGCCCTGAACACTAAATGTGATAACTAAAAACAAAATAAACTGGTGGCATGTCTCAGGTTAGTAAGCTTGAAACCCTGAGTTTCAAACTCTAGTACTCCCCCGCCCGCCCAAAGGAATTTTTCTTGTTCTTAGTTCTTTAAATGTTTTCCTTATATAAGAGACTGTTGCATTTTAAAAGTCATCAGAATTCCTGTAGTGATGCTTTGCTGATTCGTATTATCCAGTCATTAGTATGAGACTCAAACCTGAAAAAAGTTCTCAACTTTGCCTATCATTTTACATTTACTCCAGCAGCCTCCTCATACTCTTCTGGGAGGGATAAGATCAAGTAGAGGCAACCTGCACAGCCATTGACAAGTGATGTGTCAGATTGCTCCTTGGATGGACTTTTTCTTGTGAGCCAGGGTGCCTTGCCCTGCTTTGTATTTTAATTTCAACAGTAGCTGAATTACCCATACTTTCTCTCCTCCTGGCCCTTAAACTATGTAGTATTCTCACAGATTTCATTTCTGTTTATATGTTCTTGAACCTTTCACCCATTTCTTCTTTCTTCCTCTGTAACTGAGAACACATTGCAGCACATTTCTGGACCCAATGATGCCAAATATGGTCCAAGGTAGGTGCAGCAAGTAGGTGGTTTAAGGGCTTAGGAGGATCTTTTTGGCTCGATTTCATCACTCTGCGAACCCTGAGAGCTTTGTAATGTAAAGGAACACTTTGGTTCCGAATTTTGGTGTTTCAGATTGAGTGTTAGGAAACTTAAAAAGCACTTTGCTCAGCTTAGTTAGATATATGTAAAGGTACGCTGAATGTGATTGTGGAGCAGAGCAAAGCAGAGTCTGGATAATTTGGGTATATATGTTCATACCTTTCTTTCTTCAGTGTTCCATCACTTTTAACAATGTTAGTAAAACATCCACAATTCTATTCTTTATACATCCTTTCAAAGAGTTGATTTTTTATGGAATTCTGTGCATTGAAATTCTGTAAAACTAAAGAGGCGCTGTGGCTCAAAGTGGTAGAGCACTAGCCTTGAGTAAAGAAATTCTGTAAAACTAGAGGAGAGCTACCTGTGTACTTTGAGAAAGATCTTGTAAACAGATGTAGAGAAACTCCAGGAAGGTGACTGAAACTTGAAGAAATATTTACGTTCTCATGCACAGGAAGGAATTTTAGGTTAAATATTCCAGCAAAATTTTGTTGAACCTTAATGATGCCAGATTTGTAGGAGATTTGATTACATTAGCTACTCAGACAGGAGGAATCATTAGGACCTTCCTTTTTCAAAAGCCACCCATCCTTCTGGGGGATCAAGCTGTATGGACTTCATGTACCCAGCTCTTTGGTATTTGGTATTGGCTCTAGTGTCTAGTGGTCAGTGTGAGTCCTGTAGACCTCTCACATTGTAGACAGGCATACTTTTTCCTTATATATGTGTCATTTAAATACTTGGGGGGGGGCTGAGAAGGTGGCTCAGTGGTAGAGTGTTTGCCTTGCATGCCTGAGGCCCTGGGTTCAATTTCTCAGCACCACATAAGCAAAAAGAAAAAAAGCCGGAAGTGGCACTGTGGCTCAAGTGGTAGAGCGCTAGCCTTGAGCTGAAGAGCTGAGGGACAGCGCTCAGGCCCAGAGTTCAGGCCCCACGACCAGACCCAAAAACAAAAACAAAACAAACAAATACTTGGAAAATTAAAAGAACAATATTATTTATAGTGCATAAAATTTGTAAAATTCAAAGTTCATTATAAATGAGTTCTTGTATTAATACCACCTTAGTAGTTACGTATTATCTATACCTGTTTCTTTTGCCCCCATGGCAGAGTTTAGTGGCTGGGAGACCCTATTCTCTTTATAGGTACCAACCTCTGGTGTACTACTGCTTTCCTTTAGCATCTATAAAAAGTCCAGCCACTGATCAGACCTGAGGGACCAGCTTGTGTGTATGCATGAGTGCATGCACACATGCACAGCTGAAGATGTGCAGGGGCTGAAGGGCCTAGAGGAGAAAACCCAGGAATACAAGATAAAGGAAGGAAGGGAAAGAAGCCTACTTCTGCCCCCTACACCCCTGCCTCAGCTTCAGGGAAATGAAGGAAAGGAAAAAGGGGTCCTCTGGCTGACAGTACATGTTTCTGGAATGGAAATTGATTTAGGAAGGAACAAATAAAAGGATTAAGCATAGTTTTCCCGTAAGGGATGATCTCTTAACCCCTTCCCTTTAAAACTTTTAAACTTCTACTGCCATGAAATTGGTTTTTGTGGAAGTTTCTAGAAATACATGTTTTTTGTTAAATTGAAATGCTTGCACCTTTATGCATAGCTATTCACAAGTGAAAAAGCTGAGGAAAAGCACTTTAAAAGCTTTCCTTCTTGTATTATGGACTGTGTGGACTTGGCTCACACTGTTCTGACATTAATTTCTGGCTCAGGAGATCTGTTAGGTGTGAACTCTTCTCTTAACAAACATGGCTTACTTAATCCTCTCCATAGAGACAGTATGTGTTTCATTTTAGGCTGTTCTGTAGTTGGAGTTTTAATCCTCTGTATCTGAAATTGATATACTGGGGTGTTGGTTATGGATTTTGACTACAGGAAGTGATAAGGACAGGTATTTTCTGGAGTTTCATACAGTTGTGTTCAAACAGCCTACTTTATTTTTTAGTATTAAAGAACTAGGCACAGCAGTGTTTAACTTTGCTAGAGTTTAACTGATGTCCTTGATAATGATGTACTTAGACCTTGTGTATAAAGAGCTGCTACCTGGCTGTAGCATCTGTCTCCCAGACACGATACCACCCAAAGTGACAAACAGACACTTGTGGCCACTAGAGAAGTCTGGTAGATTTTACATTAAGTGTAGATGTAGCAACAAGTATGAAATATTTCTAATTTTTTCATTTGAATTATGGATCTCTCATTTACACTTTGAATATCAAAATCAAGCCAGCGTGTGTATGTGAGTTTGTAAATTTCATATATGACTTATGGATAATAATTCAAAGATCAATGGCATCTTTAGAAGATTACAAGTAAAGCCAATATTTGAAGATAAATTTAACCTGACCATCATAGAGCATCTTATTACAACAAATTACCTTTTTAGCCTTAACTAAGTGCTTTAGAATAGTACAGTAAATGATGTGTTTCTGCACAACTGAGAAGGCTCCTAGTTCCTCCTAAGTTATTGCCTACTTCTGGTCATCTAAGTATACCCAGGTATAATACCTAGTGCTGCTTCACTCATCTCTTTAAGAACCAACTGAGGCTGTCAGGGTTCAGTGGAGAAATAAAACACAGCCCGCCCCCCTAAACTGATAACTGAAAATATATTTCTGATTTAATATTTAAAGGAAGAATGTAGTTTGAAATTACTTTCTTGTGGTAAAACATTTTTATTTCATCTGAAACATAGCGACATAAAAATTATACCTATTAATGGGCTTCATGTAATTCTTTGACACATGGATAGATAGATAGATAGATAGATAGATAGATAGATAGATAGATAGATAGATAGATAGATAGATAGATAGATAGATATTCTGAGCAGAATCTTTGAGCTTTTCACTTGAACCTATAAGTCAAAGAAATATCAAGTGTTCTATTACTATTTTATAATGACGATCCATGATGCTTTTTTGTTTTCTTTTGTGCCAGTACTGTGGCTTGAACTCAGGGCCTCTTTCTGTTGGCTTTTTTTATTCATAGCTGATGATATTGTGTTCTCCATTTCGGGCATTTTGCTGGTTAATTGAAGATAAATGTGTCTCAGATTTGTCTGCCTGAGCTGGTTTCTAACTGTGAGTCTCAGTCTTAGCCTCCTAACTAGTTAAGATTGTATGTGGAGCTTTCATTAGTTTTGATGTTTTCTGATTAAACTTGTATCTTTCTCGTAGAAGTTAGTTTTGTTTTATAAATTTTTTCTATTCTCATATCCAGGTTGAAAGGATTGTTGACAAAAGAAAAAACAAAAAAGGGAAGACAGAGTATCTGGTTCGGTGGAAAGGCTATGACAGCGAGGACGACACATGGGAGCCTGAGCAACATCTGGTGAACTGTGAGGAGTACATTCATGACTTCAACCGCCGCCACAGTGAGAAGCAGAAAGAGAGTGGCCTAGCTCGTGCAAATAGGACCTCTCCCAACAATGCTAGGAAGCAGATCTCCAGGTCCACCAACAGCAGCTTCTCTAAGACCTCTCCCAAGACACTAGTGATCGGCAAAGACCACGAGACCAAAACCAGCCAGTTGTTTGCTGCCAGCCAGAAGTTCAGGAAAAACACAGCTCCGTCTCTTTCAAGCCGAAAGAACATGGACCTCGCAAAGTCAGGTATCAAGATCCTTGTGCCTAAGAGCCCCATTAAGAGCAGGACCTCGGTGGACGGCTTTCAGAGTGAGAGCCCTGAGAAACTGGACCCAGTCGAGCAGGGACCAGAGGACACAGTAGCGCCGGAGGTAGCTGCAGAGAAGCCAGTTGGAGCTTTGTTGGGCCCTGGTGCCGAGCGAGCCAGAATGGGGAGCAGGCCCCGAATACATCCACTAGTGCCTCAGGTGTCTGGCCCTGTGACCGCAGCCATGGCCACAGGCTTGGCTGTTAATGGAAAAGGTGAGTGCTTGGGTAGGCTGCCATAGCTGTTGCTCTAAACTATGGGCAGTGACTCTGAGGGTCCTTCTCAAAAGTGGGAAAGTGTCTGCAAGACCTTTGGGAGATCTTACCACCTAACTTTTCTTTCCTCCTGGTTTTTGGTATTTGTCTTTTAAGACAACACCAGCTGTCTCTGCCACCCTTACTGTCTCAACACACTGAATTGCTCTAAGCAGTGTCTTGCAATAAATATGTTGTAGTTTTTTGTTCATTTTTTGAAGTAGGTAGCTACCTTTATATATTCTTAGACATTGAGTCTGATGTTAAGAACCTACCTTCAGTTAAGTGTGGCTGGTATTGATTTGCAAGCTATGCCTCTTGTTTAGCATGCCCATTTGAGTAACCAGAAATGCTTTTAGCATTTCCTACTGGAGGTTCAAAAATAGTTCTGTTTTGCTGTGTCATTCAGGCGGTCAGGTTTTGCTGTTCTTGTTTCATAGTAGGACTGCATCGAACACTGTTCCTGTGTTATCCTCACCGTGCCCACTTCTAGGATGTACATCTTCCTTGGTTGTGATATGACCTACCCATAAATCCTTCTCAGAACTTCCCCACAATTTACACAATATACATATTTTTCTTAGCCGAGCCCCACTGAACATGCCTCACTTTAGGCCTGGGTTGTGTCTTAAACTGCCGTAGGTGTGCTGCTAGGGATAACAAAGGTCAGGTCTCATACATGATACACATGTGCTATATCACCTAATAGTCCTTGCCACAGCTATCTGATAGCTCTTCTGTTTCCTGCCATTGACAGCTCCCATTCATTTCCTGTCACTATTGCACAGGCTGGTTTCCACTAGCTAAGCTGATGAGCCCCCTCCTGACTGCTTTAGGGAATGACTGCTCCTGAAGGCCTGTAGGCTGACCTGTACCTGCTCTGTTGGTACCAGGACAGAGTGCCCCTTCTTCCTCCATCACCTCAGGAGCTATGGTTCTTTAGAGCTCTGGCCCTTTGTGTTGAGTTTTCAATTGCGCACTCATGCATGTGCATATGCATATGTATCCTTCAACCCAATCCCAGTAGAATAGTGGAAAATGAAGTGCTGTTGATTTGCTGAAGAGCCACTTTCCTCCACAGAGAAGTGTTCCTCTACAACATTGTTCTAACTGTGCATTCAACAGGTTTTCATTTAGGGCTGCATATATTCTGTAATCTTGGATTTCCTTTTGGGCAGAAAATTGCCATCTTGCTAGTAATATTTTTTCAAATACATACAACATGAATACTGCTCTTCGTGCTCCAAGTCAGCTCTCACCTGGGACAAGTACATTTGTTTATAGGTGTGATAATTGCCCTTGAACTGGCCTGTGTACATAAACAGTTTCTTCTCTCTTACTCATTTGTATGGGAAGGACCATGGAAGTTTAGAAGTGGAGGAGATTGTCATCCAGGCAGAGAAGTTGATTCTGGGAGAAGTGGTTCTGGCACAGTGAGCTGAATTCAATGAGATAATCAGAGTTGTGTCCCAGTTTCTCTTCCTATATTTTTCCCTATTCTCGTTTATTGCCTAGATGGAGAACTGGCTGCACCTTTATTGATGACAGGGCAGGCATTGGGTTGGCAACTTGGACCTGACTTGTATGGCCTATAAGCCAAGAAGGGGTTTCACATTTTCTAATGGCTTTTTAAAAAATGAAAATCAAGAGGATATTTACCAAGATTTGAAATATAAGAAACTAAAACGTAGCCAGGTACTGTAGCTTATACCTGTATTCCTATCTTCTTGGGAGACTGATACTGGGAGGTTTACAGTTTGAGACTAGCTGTGGCAAAAATAGTTTGAGACCACATCTCAACCAATTAAAAACTGGGCATAGTAGTGGAACATCTGTTAGCCCAGCTACTGGAGGAAGCATCAACAGGAAGATTTTGATTTAGGCTGGCCAATGCCAAAAAGCCAAGACCCCATTTGAAAAGAAATGAAAGCAAAAAGGACCAGAGGTGTGGCTCAAGTTGTAGAGTATCTGCCTAGGAAGCATAAGGCACTAGGTTTAAATTCCAGTACTGGGGGTTGGAGTAGGGAGAGTAGACAGAAAAATTAGTGTCCTACATAAAGTTTGATTGGAATGTAACTGTATTCCTTTGTGTATGAACTGCAGCAGGATGTTTGCCTAATCATGCTAGGTCCCTGGTCTGGAGAGTAGAGTTTCAGTTTTGTTATTTTAGGAGGAGCAGAAATGGCTTCAGGAGCTCTGTGGTCCCCCTTTTATGGTCCACAAAAATGGTGTGCGTGTGTGCTCATTTTGGCAAAGATTCACAAACTTTGAGCCAACATGGCTTTCTAGTCCTTTTTCACTAAACCTAGAAGCTTTTACTGATTACTGCTTCCCACACTGCTTTGCTCCACTCATGTCCTCCAGGCAAACATTGCTCTTGAGTAATGTCTTTCACAAAGGAAACTTGCCCTGGGCAGAAGCCCCATTTCTTTATATTTCGTATATAAGGAAGCTAATAGCTCCTATTTGAATATGATTTTGTTAACTTCCTTATGTGAAAATGTCCGTAAAGTACTTTAAATTTAAACCAAAAGTGACTTGTTAAGTATAAAATCTTAAGTTATAATGGAAAAGAATAGGTACCTCCTCCCCTGGGGGCCTCCTGACATGTTCTTCTGAATACACGAGATGGCAAAGAAGGTGGCTCAGTTCCTTTGCTTTGTAGTGCCTTCCCCCTTCCTGTGGCAGAGAGCTACTTCATCATTTGTCTACTAATGCGTAAGCTCCAAGAAGGAATGCCTCTTCACATCACTGCCTGATAAGTAGCAGATTCTGTGTAAGCCTGTACATGAAATGATTCCGATGGAGTGAGTGTTCATTGAAGATAAGATTGTGATGAGCCCTTAAGGGCCCTAGTTCAGAGCAAATGGGAAAGAGAGCGCCTGGGAAGAGATGTTCTTGAGATGAGGAGGGGTCTAGGCCAGAAACAAATTTCTAGAAAGCTAAGTATTTCTCTTTCTTGAATGAAGAGAACACATACTGAAGTTCTGTTGATCTATGTACAGCAAATTTTAAAGCCATTGTTTGTTTTTCCTTCCCAGATTAATTTTAGTACTTTGTAAGAAAATTGATGTGTTTTTCTAAAATTAATTGAAGCAGATACCACTGGAATCATTGGGAAATGAACCATCTCCTATTCCATACGTTAATCATGGGTTTATTTATTTTGGGGGGGTATATTTGCCTCTAGAAACAGCAAATATTTGAGTATCTATGAACAGGAGGGAATGTTTCTGAGGATGAAACAAAGGTTTAAAAAATGAACTGATAAAACTGCATTACAATTCATGATTTCATGCCAGTCAGAATGGCTATCATGAAGAAAAGTAAAACACAATAAATGCTGGCCAGTGTGGTGGAGAAGAAAGGCACACTTAATCACTGTTGATTGAAATATAACAGTGTAGCCACTATGAAAACCACTATAGTTCTCTCTCTCTCTCTGTTTTTTATAAAAGGAAGTACTATGTGATGCTGCTATACCACTCCAAATGAACCAGAGTCAGCATACAATAGAGATTCTTGCACATCCATGTTTATTGCAGCACTGTTAACAATAACCAAACTATGGAATCAACCTATGTCCATTAGTGGATGAATTGAAAAAGAAATATATATAAATATATATATATGTATATACACACTGGAATATTATTCAGCCATTAAACAAAAATTATGTCATTTTCAGGAAAATGGATGGAAATGGAAATCATCATATTATGCTAAATAAGTTACACTCACAAAAACAAGTATAATGTATTTTCTCTCAGTTTAAAATAGTCATGAAAGTAAAAGGGGCATTACTTGAAAAGAGGAAGAGGACCAGCAAGAATTGGGGGGAAAAAGAAAATGGGGACTTAAATATGATGAAAATAGCCGGGCTTTGGTGGTTCGTGCCTGTAATCCTAGCTACTCAGGAGGCTGAGATCTGAGGATCATGGTTCAAAGCCAGCCCAGGCAAGAAAACTGGAAGTGGCGCTGTGGCTCAAGCAGTAGAGAGCTGGCATTCAGCTCAAGAGCCGAGGGACAGTACCCAAGCTCAGAGATCAAGTTCCATGACCAACTCCCAAAAAATGATTAAAATATATACATGTATGAAAATTACATGATATAATTTTATGCAATTTCTCCCAAAAAATGGGAGAAATTTTTAAGTGTAATGGATGACTTGTCTTTTTCTTAGTTATCATTATAGTAAGTGAATGGTGATTTCTTGCTCTAATTGCTTAATTAGTCCTACAAAAGTCTTTAATTGGTCCTACAAAAGAAGCAATTACTTTTTTTTTTCCTTGGTGGTGGGGCCTGAACTTTGGGCCTGGGCACAGTCCCTCAGCTCTTCAGCTCAAGGCTAGTGCTCTACCATTTGAACCACAGCACCACTTCCGGCTTTTCCTACTTATGTGGTACTGAGGATTTGAACCCAGGGCCTCATGCATGCAAGGCAAGCGCTCTACCACTGAGCCACCTTCCCACTAAGTTGTGGATTGTCATGACTATTCTGTCATGAATTTATATAATCAGTCATTATTCCACAAGTAGGAAATTAAAAAATGATAGCAGCAAAATTGAAAGAACAGAAGTAAAGAATAAACTCTACCATTGTTACTATGTAGATGTGGCTGGTAAACATCCAAGTAAAAGCCAAGAAATTAGGAAAGTTAGTGACTGAAAAGACCTTTCCATACCTTCTTTCCTTAAGGATGTTCATTTTGGTTTCTTCAGAGTATGACTTCATCTTGAGAATGGGCATAGATAATCTGGCTCTGTGTCTTTTGATTCCTAGGGAACCATAACCACCACTGCAACAGAACTCTCAGAAAAGGGACCAGTGAGTATTTAATGCTCCAAAACTGACCCTGGGGGAAGGTAAAGATGTCAGGATACGTCTGAGTCTAGAGGTAGCTGCAAAGGCAATATCTACTTGAAAGGAGCATTAGAAGCCAAGTTAGAGCAGACTAACA